CACTTCTGAACGTACAGCGCAGAAAGACGATGGCAACAATGGAGAGGGCGAGAAGAAAGGAAAAAGCACCGGTAAAGCAGGCAGGGGGAGGCGCGATGGCGTGAAAGGCGGCGGTATTATCCGAGATGCTAGTTGGATTCCGTGAGTCACTCTAGTCTACTACGTCTTTACCCCTGAACGCTACTGTTCGTGTCTTAATCTGATATCAACGCTTGTGCACGTTTGTTGCGATGTCTAGGTACCCATTCGCACCGTCTTGGGCGGATCCGTTGGCCTCCAAGATATGGGACCAGCTAGAGGTCAGGGTCGAGGCGGGGCTCAAGGCCGCTTCGGAGGAAGGCAGTTCCCAGGCAGGGAATGGCGAGAGAGGGTCTGTATCATGAATAGACGTCTTGCGCAGGCGTATTGGTTGATGTGGGTATGCGATATGATGCCCAACGTCCCGCTGATTTTTGAGCGCTGTTCGGCAATGTCCAGAAGTCGTTATCGTAAAACATATACCACGGCGTCGGAGACTGGTCTCCACGTAGCGCTCCTTCAGCTTTTTATTCCTACTCGCAGCTGCAGCTACAATTTCCTCAGACTGAACAAAGAAGCTTTACATCTTATCCATGATGCGGAAATGGAAGGAATCTAGGACTAATAGCTGTGCAGGTTACGCAGCCTTGGAACCCGGGTAAGGGAAAGCTGTGGGAAACAGGATCAGAAGAAAGAGCGGATGGAGAAGCTGCTGGCTGGGAGATGGGTTTGATCCCACAAGAGGAAGGCCGGATGTCGGAACCATCAGCTTTTCCGTTTCTATCCCAGAATAGTTATCTGTCTATGCGATCAAGTCGTTGTACTGCCTATCAGCTTGCCTATCGCTCACAGCTGCGACCAGCTGTTGAAAACTTGAAACTCAGGACATGCACCGATAATCAAAGGTTTCGGATTTGCATCCGCGATCAATGACATCATCACCTTCCGCCCAGGCCTACCTACTACTGGAGAAATAGACAATTGAGCTTGACAATCAGATCAAGAAATAGCTGTTTCATGTGATCGCAGTGTACTGCACTTCGCTCTAGCGACTTCGGGCCAAGCCAAGAAATCGGGATCGTTGGTCATGCTACAGCTGGTACGGCGAGGATTTCGACACGCGTTATTCCGGCGACTATCGAAATCTTGATAATATCGTTCGGGGTTCATGACTGTTTAGCCCGCCCATGCCCGGTTTCACTGGTCAACAAGAATCGATATTTGCTAGTGGTATGCAGGAGGTGGGGTTGGTAATCGGATGAGCAATCCAGGGGGATAAGGAGTGGTCGAGGTGGAGAATTGGTGGAGGAGGAGGACTCGATGAGCAATGTCTTCACAAAGGAACACGTCCTTCAGGTGGTGAATTGGATACGAGGCCGGGCGGCAGGAGGGAAATTGGATCGCAATGACAGACGGACTCAACTTCGATGTACGTTGGCTACTATTCTGTATCTGTTGTCCTGCGAATATATATACTGGACGTAATTTCACAAACTTGGCACAGGTATTGGATTGATCGGTTCAGTTTTCCCCTATTCAATCGATCTTGTTGCCCCTATCAGCTCCCCTATCTATCGACGTGCCAGTACACACGCAACCAAAGGACAGCCTGAATTTACAAAAGTACACCATCAGCTACATCACCATATGGCTTCACCCAATCCACCTCCCTTTTCCGAGACGTTCCAAAAGTCAATCCCTCGTTCACCAACTCTTGTAGGCGAGAGGGATAGCAGGCGTTCCTCGTTCTTTGCAAAACGTACATCAACAACGAGCGACTACTTTTCCAAACCAGCACAAGGTATGACGGGTATTACTCGTCCCGACAGGGCCCTGGCATCGGACAGCGACCACACACCTCCAAACTACGACCTCGATGCGCCGTTACACGCCGGCAAGACCCTTGCCTCTCCAAGTACCCTCGTCGATGCTGCATCCGAACACAGCGGCAGCGGCGACAACGGCGTCGAGGACACCTTTGCTCGTCTTTCCTCCGTGCGAAAACATGTCCTGCTTGCAATCTTCTCCCTTGCTACCGCTTTGGACGTCGTCAGCGTTAGTGGACTGATCACCACGACCGAATCCATCTCGGTAGACTTGGGACTCCAAGCGGGGAATATCACGTGGATCTTGACGGCATATTCCATGACTTTTGCTTCGTGAGTCTATAATCCAAACCCACATGTGTTTGAATTTCGCTAACCTAGTGTCATGCGGCAGGTTCTTGTTGTTCTGGGGACGGGTGTCGGATCTATACCCCGCTCATATCGTCTTTGAAGGAGGGTTCGTCATGCTCGCCGTCTTCTTCCTCATCTCCTCATTCGGTAAGCCTTTTATGATCTCGAGCGGCATGATAGCTCCACGCTCATCCGTTGGTATGCTATGTAGTGACAAACAAGTACGGGTTCCTCGTTCTACGTGCGCTTCAAGGAATCGCAGCAAGTTCCACCATCCCGAGCGCGTATCACTTGATCGTCCATCTGTTCCCCGTACGAGATAAACAACAGGTAAGTGGCTGTATCGTGCCTCTTTGCGCTTGACCTGACCGTTTCTGCTTTCTTGTAGAGCGCACTGGCATTACTCGGACTCATTGCAGCGATCGCAAACACCCTCGGTGTGGTCCTGTAAGCCTTCTTTCCCTCCACTCATTGACGTTCAAGTAGATGAGCTAACCCAGTCCGCGCTTTCGTTACAGGGGAGGAGTATTCGAGCTCGCGTCATGGCGCTGGCTCTTCCGTTTCATGGCCATCCTGGCATTTGCGTCGGCCGGTATCGGGGCGTTGATTATGCCATGGAAGATGGAACGTCATGTCGCCGCCAACAAGTTCTCCAAGTTGCAGAGGTTGGACCTGGTCGGGGTGTTTTTGATGACTGCTGCGTTGCTGCTGTTCATTCTCGGTTTAACAAGTAGGTCGTCAGGCTTGCAATACCTGGCGATAAGGCGCTAACCATGATCTGTTTGTGTGAAACGTTAGGTGGAACAACGGACGGGTGGAAGAATGAACATTTCCTCGCGCCATTCCTCATCTCGTGCTTGCTCACCGTCGCCTTCTTCGTCTGGGAATCGAGGATCCACGAAGATAAAGCGCTGCTATCCATGAAGCTGCTCAAGCTACCCAACTTGATCTTGTTGTGTTTCATGGCGTGAGTTCGCTTCTTCACCTTCCGTTGCGTATAATCACTGACACCTGTGATGTGTAGTATGACCCCCTATCTCTGGTGGGGTACAGTAAGCCTCGCACTGGCAAACTACTACCAAATCGTTTCGCACCACTCTGCGATCCTTGCTGCAGCCCGAATCCTTCCCATCGGTAAGTTAATCCGTCATTGGGCTGCACTGGGAGCATCCTGACCTTTCCAATTCTCTGTTCTAGGTATCGCCGGCCTCGTCGGTGGAACGTTGGTCCAATACGTTCCAACAATGCTCTCCCGGCCGAAATGGACAGTCATTGTCGGCGTGTTCATGGCTATCGTGCCAGCCACCGTTCTGCTCATCCTCGCTGATGGCGGACATGGTAATGATTACTGGAAGTATATGGTGAGCCCCGTCATTTGGTTAATATGTCGTCCGGTATCGTGCTGATCGTTTCTCCTGCTCCTGTCAGTTTCCTGGTTGTGCGTTGGGCTCCTTTGCTATAATGTAAATTGACCCATTCGCTCAAAGCGTTGTCTGGACCGTGCTGATTGTTTGTCGGGTTCTTGCCTCTGTAGTCTTGTCTTTCTGGCGCTCAACGTGGAAATTATCACTGCGGTCCCTCCTGCTGCCTCTGGCGTTGCTGGGGCGCTGCTACAGGTCAGCCTTCAGCTAGGCAAGTTTCCCGCCCGCCCCGTATGTTTTTACGACTACAGGTCTAACTCGTTCACCCCTTGCGTTACAGGCTCTGTCGTTGGCCTTTCCGTACAGGCAGGCCTGTATACTCTGGTCGACAACGACCTCTCCAACTGGAAAGGCACGCAATACGGCTTCTATTTCGTCATTGCTTGGTTGGCCGTCTCCCTACTCGCCTTTGCCATCTTCTACCGTCCTGAAGCAAGCCAAAAAGTATTGCAAGAGTTGGACGCGACCGAAAAGGTGCCAGTAGATGGAGTGGTGAAGTCGACCGTCTCTCCAGTATGATCGCTCGACAACGTCGACCGACCAGGGAACGCACAAACATAGAATTTCGCCTCTCGCATCGCAGTGCTCAATTAATACAAGTTGTAAAAATTAATGAGTATGCGGATTGCCTTTCGTTGTACGTAATGAATTCTCCTCATCCATTGCATTGTTGCAATACCACTCCACGTCTCTTCTGCGACTTCTACACTCACCGACTGTCTATAAGAAGCTCCACTGACATAAAGGGTTCGCCAGGCTTCAGATGAGGCGCAAGAAATGTCCAAACAAAGAACTTGCAAAAAGAGTACCTTTGTGAATGACCAATTGGTCCGAGTCGTATCGCTGATCCCGGAGAGCAGTGTTAGGCACATCAGATTGACTAGTCAAGCCCCATACGAATGTAAACACATACTTTTATCTTTTCTGCAGGGCTAGCAGTGGGGTCTTTCCTGCAATATCCGCAGTAGTTTTTCCGATCTGGCTGTGCCTTGACGTATGCGCGTAAGAGGTCGAAACGGGTGTTTGCCAATGGTCCCAAGGGCCGCTGTTGAAAGGCTTCGAGCGTGTCCTCCATGATAGAAAGGCAGCGGATGATCCAGTCAGCGGCCTGGGTATAGCTGACGAAACTCCTTTCACTGACGATCTGACCAGCTGGTTGATCTCGCATTCGTCGCAAGAGACTCCAATATTAGTTGAGGAACGGCGGAACGTTACTGTAAATGTGATGATTGTTGTGAATCCCTTCTGACAGCGCGGACGACGAACGCACCGGATGCAAAAATGCGGTTTTGTGATAATATGGACGTAGCTATGGACGTCATCGGAGCTGTGCATAGAACTAGTGAGGCTCATATTATAACAAAGCACACAGAAAGCATCATACGGTTGCTTGATGTAGCGGTTATCATGTCTGCTTCACATTGCCTCGGCAATTGGATACGCAGAATGTCGTGAGTTCGATTCTCACAGCGATCAATCCTTTTTGCTGCTCATTTTCGAAGGGCTGCCTAACAATCAGATATGTGAAGTAGGCATGATAACTACTACATCATGTCGCCATTGGTTGTTAGGTTTCTTTTGCGTTAAATAGGACATTGAGAACATTGGCGCCGAGGTAGAAGAGGCTCTTTCATTCCAAACCATTCCCCATCTTACCTCACCCAGAAACCGGAACTGCTACAATGTGCGCTCGGGTTACAATTTAAACCAATGCTTGACCTATCTGGGAGACTGACCTAGGTCTCAGGAGACGAAATTCTAGACGAATAACCACAATACATCGCATGCGCGACATACTCGAAAAGCTTAAAGTCTATTGTCCTTGCTGCTCTGCGGCGCGCGATTTGTTTACCTCTATCACAACCCCCAACTTCCCGCCTCTAATTCTATACTGCCTTTTCGACCGAACACCGGTGTAAATATTCCACAGGGCAACCTTATCAGCTTGCTAGAGCACCCTACCGTACGAGTGGAATATCAAGCAACTCGGCAGCGATCTTTCCAACGTCCACTAACCGGATATTCGTTTCGTCGTGTTTACGCGGCAAAGACAAGAAACAATCGAAGTGGCACGCTAGAGAAGCCAGGTCCAGGTTATTATTCCTCCTATTTCCTTGTATCACGGGCCTCCTCGTTTACCAACAGTTTGTGGCTTCTTGTTCATTCGTCAGTCGTCAGTCTGCAGTTGTGAAGACTCTTAAGACTTGTCACGTACATCCCACCCGCCATATTCCTTTGGTACGGCTGTCAAATCAGTACCTACCCGGTCACCACACCTCAATCGTTCCTTTGGCCCTCCTGTGGTCCGACCCTAGTGCAGATACAGCGAGACCTTCTTCAACCCGGGTTTCCTCGTCATACTCCTTGTCGATTCGACTTCACTACCAAGATACATCCTTCGATCAGCTTGAACCCGCGCAGATCCCGATATCGTCAAACAACGGCTTCAACCTTTCACTTCTGGAAATCAGCTAGATACTCGGAGTTTGATTCTGCTTTGCATTGCTCATACTCTTGCAACGTGCCGCTTCGATTGGATCCATAGAGCAAGAGAGGTAGACACACCGTATTACAGGTCAACATCGGATCGCCGGCAAAGTCGACAATATGTCCAAGGTACGTCTCGTCATATGGATCCTACCTCGATTCTTTCCTAATGCGGTATTTCAAAGGCACAATTTTTGCGAGAATACAAGCTAGTGGTAGTAGGTGGTGGTGGTGTTGGCAAGTCTGCTCTTACGATTCAGTTCATTCAGTCACATGTAAGTTGCTTTTTCTGTGCATACTTCATCTGGTCTAACGCATGACATCTCTCATAGTTCGTAGACGAGTAAGTTCAGTAAAGATATAGCAATCAGGCAGACGCTCATGCAGATATCCCTTTCTCGCAAATGAAGATATGACCCTACGATCGGTAAGTCGATTATCCATTTCCGCTAGCCACGCTGCTGACTGATCCGTTCGATCACAGAGGACTCGTACAGGAAGCAATGTTTCATTGATGAAGAGGTAGCACTGCTGGACGTGCTGGACACGGCTGGGCAGGAAGAGTACGGTGCAATGAGGGAACAATACAGTGAGTCGTCTTGCCTAGTCTCATTTTGCACAGATCACCAACCTTTGTGCCATGTCAGTGCGTACAGGAGAAGGGTTCCTGCTCGTGTACAGCATCACATCAAGACCATCCTTTGACGAGATTTCCGTATTTCACCAGCAGATCTTGAGGGTACGCAGTAGTGGCCGGATATCCGGGGCTACAGCTCATGCAGATTTCTTCGCAGGTCAAGGACAAGGATTATTTCCCAGTGGTAGTCGTTGCAAACAAGTGTGATTTGGACTATGACCGTCAGGTGGATGCTCAAGGTACGTTCGATGCCATACGACCCGCAAAACGAATCAATGCTCACCGCTTTGCCAACAGAGGGTACCAACCTAGCAAAGCAATTCGGAGCTGTGTGCATTGAAACGTCAGCCAAGCAACGCATCAACGTCGACGAGGTGTTTATGGAGCTGGTCCGAGCTATTAGACGATACAACAAGGCAAGCCCGTTTGCCGTTTTTTATTATCTCGCGACTCTTACTGATCTCTGCTTTCCCATCATAGGAGACATATCCGCCTCAGAACGGCGCCATGACATCCGCAGGAGGTGCCGGAGGAGCAGTCGGCAACGGAATTGGCACGCCAAAGCCTGCCAGGTCAAAGGCGGACGACTCGCATGGCGGAGGCTGTAAATGTGTCATCCTGTAGGCGCGCGGCGTGGTCCGCGATTGGCAAGGGAAGTATAGAGCGGTACAGGCGTCTGTGTGTTTTTCGAGGACATTGTAATGGGATGATAATTAGGTTATGGTTATGCTCAGGAAATGTACATCATGGGGTGTAGAGGATAGCTGAACGATAAGCCTGATCGTTCCCCTTGTCTGCCCTCCCTTGACTGACAACTATTATTCTCCAGCCGCCGAGTTTCCGGGAAAGTGCAGCTGGACTGCATCAGTACAGTGCAGACCACCAAATACTCGAGTGCTGATTGCTTACGAACAATTTTTCACGCCCCGTGGGAATTCCGCTTTCCCCGGTTCTGGACAATTTCGAGGTCCTCATCGCCTGGCTTTCAGGGGTAAAGCTGAAACGCGGCCTGCTCACCAATAGGGGATTTGAAGTCAAATCCCTCGATGAGTTCAAAAACGACAGGTCTTCCTTGCTTGCCCAACACCCTTCGTTACAGGACTACATCTCTTCATCTGCGCTTTCCTATTTCTCAGGAGGAGGACGACGAGCAACAGGAAAACTGAAAAGCGCTCAGTCGCGTCAGGTCGTACTTTCTCAGTACCACGAAAGCTCTTCCACTCGGGAGGAGAATGATAATACATTTTGTCAGGAAAGCGCCACTACTACCTCGTCATGACCTCGGATACCCAGCCTCCAAGGGATGCTTCGTTGCACCTCGCCGCTTTCGACTTATTGCTTTGGGGATTTTCCACTATGATAAAACCGAGGATTACTACGCTGTCAAGCGTATAAATCAGTTGACGAAACCATAGCGGAAGTATGCAGGGACGGTCTTCCTTCCTTCTTCTAGTAGGCACACACATATGCGTCGAATGAGAGCGAAAGACTGGGAAGAGGCTATTGGTCTTGCAGACGTTTTCGTTCGAGAAATCGTGCCGAAACACGTTTGGACCCGGTAAGTCATGTCTTTCTTGTATTGGGAGATGCTTAACGCTGCTGACAAGTTTCCAGAATAGTTGGGCATTACATTCCAGAGGGACGGGCAAGGCCCAACAACCGTTAATCCCACCAGAACGTGGTGGTGGAATATGATGGGACGCTCGTTTGTTCTTCGGTGACATTGCAGTTGGATACTGCTCCTTTGGTACGGTAGAAGAAACTGTTACGAGTTGTATGAGTACTAGGGCTGGGTGGGACCAGCATGCATATCAAATACCTGCACCCATCACCTCTCCCGTCCTTTCATGAGTGAGCCAAACGTGCCGGCCGGTCCGATAATTCGTCATCTCCCAGAGCTCGACAATAATAGCCAAAGCAGGCAAGCACCAATCATGACCAAAGGAGTGGTTGTTGCTCTGCCAACCTCTTACACCCTCGAGAACGGTCAAATAGAGTAGCAACGAACAATGCCTTGGGGGTGGACATGACGCTGGACAAACTAGCATCCACTTACGACAACGATGGACCTGCAAACACGATCGAAGAACTGAGACTGGACCTGCCGGGACAATTCGACAAGCATTGGTTTATTAACGAGGTGAATCGCGGTGTCATTATGATCGTTCGCTCACTTCAAGGATACTAGCTAACACCTATTAAACTCTGCCATCACGATGATTGTATCCGCAGCTCCTTCCCTCACTCGGTCCGTTGGTGAACCTTCGAAGACTCCAAATCCACGCCCTCTGCACGCCAGCCGTTCTACAAATCAAGTCGGTCGAACACGACAGCATTTTACTAGCCCACGAGTCTACCAGCTGCGTTCGTCGCCTAACAGAACACCACCAGTCTCTCGAAACATGCGAGTTGGTATTTACGCCATGCAAGCACGCGATGTCGTTCTCATCGGTCGAACAACTCCGAGCTGCGATGCCTTGCGAATGGGCGAATGCAGTGTGTTATCACCACTTGAACATTAAGCGATACCGAAACTCTGCTGTGCCGGTGGTCCAATATCGGGAAGGGACAAAAGAGGATATGAGGGGCTTCTTCAGGGAAGGCCCTCAGATATTTTGAACGGTAGACTCGTCATGGTACGAACTTTCAAGCGAGACGACGCTCTTCAGTTGCACTAATCCATAAATGCTTTCCTTTCAGCCGAGTCCCTCCAGCCAGTCAAGGACCCTGGTCATCAATACATGAAAGCAGCCCGCTAGCACCCACCTGACCTCATCAGCCAAGCCAAGCCAGGAAATCACAATCGTCCGCCATGGCCGTCGGCGACTTCCCGAAACACGTTATATCGTATATCGCTACAGCTCTGACTGTACCACCTTCGCATTGCACGCTCTGTCGTTGGTCTCTCCGCGCAGGCGGGTCTATACACGCTAGTCGACGACGACGTCTCCAACTGGAAAGGCACGCAATACGGCTTCTACTTTGTCACTGCCCGGTTGGTCGTCTCCCTACTCCGCCTTTGCCATCTTCTACCGGTCCGAAGCGAGCCAAAAGGTATTGCAAGAGTCGCAGACGACAGAAAAGGTGTGAGTGGATGGAGTGGTGCAGCCGACCGTTTTTCCTGTTTGATGTTCGTCAAAGTGGACCCACGAAAGAACGTCGAGAAAAGGAACTTGCGCTCTGTTGTGGCCTGCATGCACGCAAACGTTGTATCACAAGCTGTAGCCGTATGGGGCAGGTCGTCACTACTCTGTTCTTGTGCCCATGTGACCTGTCTTCACCCCAACGCTTTCGCGCCTGCCGGTTTCCAACACTCATCAAGAACGCGGCGATGATCCATGACGTTCACTAA